TTAAAGTGTATACCTATATATATTAAATTTAAGTGTAGTTAGACATGTTTGCTTACAAATAGTTTATAAAAATTTTAAGTGATCCATATTTTCAACCATAAGGTAGTATAATTTAGATAATCTTATATATGTTATATATCTATTCGAGTGTTTATAATATTTCATGCATACATTTTTTATACTATTTTATACAAAATAAAATTATATTATAAATTATATCACATGTTAACTTTACATCTTTAATTTATAATTATTATTTAATATTATTTATTTGTGCATCCCAAACACTAATAAACGCTCATACATCATAAGCTTTATCTGTGCTAGTTTATTTGAAAATAATAAGCTCATCTATTAATATATAGAGAGACAATGATATTTACTTGAAATAGTAACTAAAAATAAGTAAGAAAAATATTTGTTTTTTCGTCTAAAAAATTAGATTACTAAATTGGGTAGTTTTTTGGCCAAAATTTGAAAAATTTTGCATAAATTAGTGTGATTAATGTACAAAATCATTTTGGTCAAATATTGTAGCTATTACCTTTACATGGTTTAAATTCGAAATATAATATATTGACAAAACTTGCGGCTATTACCTTTATCAGTTGCATGGTTTCAATTTGGTATATAATACATTGAAAAAAAAATATTTTTATTTAAAATTTAAAATCAAAGAATATTTATTCATAACTTATGAGTCAATATTAACTTGGACGTAAACGTAGTAGTCAATTATTTATATTTTAATAAAGTACTCAATAACTTACGAGTCACTATTAAGTTGGACGTAAACGAAGTAGTCAATTATTTATAGTTTAGTAAATTATTAAACTACTTAGTCTTTTTAATTTGAACAGTTTATACAAAAACTAAATTTATTTTAAGCAATGAAACAATATAAATTTTAAATTTATAGTTATTATTCACATAGGTTGTTAAATATATGATAAAATTTTAACAAAATAAATATTTTATGAAATCACTTTATAGTCAAATCGAATTTGAATAATAATTTTAAAATGACACTTATTTTGAAA